GTCTGCTATCCTGTTTCCAGTAGAGGCCCTGAACACTTCTGCTGTAACTGTCCGAGCAGTTAAATCTCTTCAGCAAGAAGTGTTTCAGATGAGTATGGTTTTATCTTTGCCATTCTACTTCTAAGAACAATTCTCCTCTTAAGACTTTTTTTGGAGCCATCGTTGTGGAATAGCCAGTTATGGTGCCACTGGCATCATTGGCATTCCATGTGGGTGTCCGTTTGAATAGCGGCTGCACCGTTTCTGATGCAGCTCCCTGATAATGCATCCATTAAAGCGGCATTGGGCCCCTGCACCTGCTGAGAGCCCTGGATGAAGTTATTGGCCTTGGCCTGGCCCAGCTCTGGCTGTTGTGGTCAGCTGGGGAGTGAACCAGCATAATCCTTGGGAGAGGATTATGTCGGCAATTCTACCCTTCAAATAAATGAATCAGTCTTTCAAATTTTTATTTGAAAAGCAGAGAAATAGGGACAGACAGATAAGTCATTCTTCACTTCCCGGATGCCCACAGAATCTGGTGTTGGGCTAGGCTAAACCCAAGAGCCCAGAACTCAGGTCTGCGTCTGCGATGTGGATGGCAGGGATGCAGGTGTGAGCCATCGGCTGCTCCCCCCACCCCCAGCATTCTTTTAAACTGTGTTCTGATAAACTGTGGGTCTCCTTGGACCACCCTGGTTTTGACTTTTGCGTGCTTCCACCACTGTTGAGAGTTGTCATTGAGCTGGTTCCAGATTTGTGTTGGTGGGCTGCAGTCCTGTGCTTTCCTGTGTCTGTCAAGTCGCCTGTTAGCTGTGTTTTGTGTCCGTAAAATCCCTGGAGTTTTCCCAAGTAGCTGGCATTTCTGTGTCCGCGGCGGTGAACACTGTGATCACAGCTGGCATAAGTGCTTTCTCTTTTCTTTCCCCCCAGACAGAGCTTAGTTTATGCTTTAATCCAATGTGCCAACTTTATTGCAGTTATTACAGAAACTTTCTCATAACTCTTTGCCGAGGAAACAAATTCATCTAACTTTTATACATTTCCTGTTTGAAAATACTTGGAAAGTTTAAGTTCATGACGCGGTTATATTTGGGGCATTTCAAGCCCTTTGAGAAGTAGACAGGACCTGGCTATTCTAAGGAGCTGGGAGTTCCAGGAGATTGAAGCAGAGCGTGATTAGATCTGTGTTTAGAGAATTTGATCACCAGCATCGGGGGTGAATTATGCGACTGGTAGGAAGATCCAGTTCAGGCGGAGGACAGTCGTCAGGGAGTGGTGACTTGCAAAGGGGGTATGGCTGGCAGAGAGCAGAAGAAAGGAGGCAAAGAGACGGCGTTTGGCACTTTGTAATTGCTTGGGTATGGAGGGCAAAGGCAGAAGATGTTTAGCATGTTTCCCTGAGTCCTGACATGGGGAATCCAGAAGGGTCAGCTTGACCTGATAGGAACCACAGTGAGTTCAGTTTGTGTGTGTCAGTGTAGAGCTATGCGGGAGGTGCTTGGATATAACGGTCTCAGAACCGTGGAGGGCTGACACCCGGAACAGGACGCTGTGCTTAATGGAGAAAATCAACAAGGTTTACTGGTGGGCTCAGTGGTGGTTGTGAGGGCAGGAAGAACAGCCAGGTGGAATATGTTGAGGGAAATCTATATTCTAGATGTGAGTGTTCGCACAGAAATTTCAAAACCTGAGCTAAATGAGATACCAGATTAAGATGCTGGTTCTTTGAAGACACGAGGACAGAAGAACTCGCAAAATTAAGGAAACGCAAATATACCAACGAGTGTAATGAAAGAGAACGCATGAATTAAAAATGGAATAGATCACCAAGTAATACTGTGCCCAGTGTTTAAAAACCAATGGAAAATGGATGAGTTCCTAAGAATAGTACATCTTTTTCAGAACTCTCAACAGAGCCAGAAAACAGACTTGAAGCTGTTAAAAAGAATATCGATGAGTAGTTAAGATTAACTCACCGAAATATAAAATCAAACAAAAACTTGGCAGACGGAGATGGATTTTGGCCACCATCTAGCAAACTCCCAAGAAACAGATAAGCATATCTTATCTACTTTGTTCTAGAAAATGGATAAGAGTGAACATGGTATTTATGATACCAGCGTGGCCTAGTCCTGCTAGCCAAGGAGTATGTGCAGTCCTGGAGTGTGGCGACGGTTTGTAAGGCTAGTCTCACCCACGTAGGAGAGCTGGATTAAGTTTGCATCTCCTGACTTGAGCTTGGCCCAACTCCAGCTGTTGTGGGCGATTGGGGAGTGAAGTACTCTATATCCATCTTTCTCTTGCTGTTTCTCAAATACATAAGTAAAAGTTTTTAAATAGTATAGGCAACATGGAATTAAAAAATAATTTTGGGGCAAAACATGTCTTGAAATGTATGCACGTGAGGGGTCTTCCAAAAGTTTGTGGAAAATGAGTTATTATGAGCAAATTATGCATGGATTTCAAGATTTTTTTTTTTTGCATCAGAATAAACTGGATAGTTTTGTTTTTTCCATGAACTTTTGGAGGTGTCTATAAATTAAAAATAGTTTCAATATTATGCTGTTTTTTTTAAGGGATTTTATTTGGAAGGCAAAGTGACAGAGAGATGCAGACAAAGATCCTGTCCCGTGTGCTGGTTCAGTCCCTGAGAGGCCAGCAGCCAGCTCTGTGCTGCGCTGAAGCCAGGAGCCAGGAATTCCATCCTGGTTTGCCCTATGCGTAGGAGCAGGGCTCCTGCAAGTACTTAAGCTGTCTCCTGCTGCTCTCCCAGCTGCATTAGTAGGAAGCTGGATTGAAAGCGGAGCAGTTAACCATGGTGGGATGCTGGTGTTGCAACAGTGGCTTAACTGACTTTGCAACAACACTAACCTCTGATGTATACACCTTAAACCGGTGAAGTTTATGCTGTATGAATTAAAACCGAGTAAAGCTGTCGAAAGTTTCAAAAACTTTTGCAACACTAACAAATTATATATTAAACTGTACTAAGGAAAATTCAGAGTTAGAGTAAATTATATGTAACCTAGAAAATTGTTAAAGGCTTAATATCTAGAAGGTGAGAATTTACAAACTTGGAGAAGAAATAAACTCCTGCCCCACTCGTAAATGGCCAAAGGAGTCAGGCAGTTTATTGTTAGAACCTGAGAGATTGACAAAAGTCAGCAGTGAAATACTCACATCTTGGTGGTCCAGTTTTCTTAGGGTTTCAAGTACTGACATCACTACTGGGAAATGGAACGAGCCCATTCGTGGCTGGGGAAGGATGAACCAGCACACCCGTTCTTGGTGAGCAAGACGAGTTCTGCCGTCACAGTGAGAGTTGGCACACAGTCAACAAGTAGAAAAATGATTGTAATTATGACTGACACTAAAAATCCTGAAGGAAATAAAGTTGAGTGCTAAGATTCCAGGGACGGACAGGGCTCGGGGAAGGCTCTGAGAAGTTAAGAGTGAGTGAGTGGAAATTAGGGGGAAAGCAGTCCAGCCAGAGACAAGAGCCTCAGGAAGGTCATGTGAAAAAAAACAATAAGAACAAAATATGTAGGAATAACAGCAAAAGTGGCGGAAACCTACACTGTGAGCAGAAAACATTGTTGAAATATGTTAAAAGAGAACGCCATTGTTAATTACTCAGTGTTCCGCAACTCACTCAAGTGATGGAATTCTCTTTGATAGTTAGGTTAACATGTTGCCACTGAATCGGTTCAGTCCAGTCTCGAAATCCATGAGCCGACCCTACCAAAAACGCAAGGTACACAGTGTGGCCCGCACGCAGCAAAGAAAGAGGGATAGTTGGTGGCCGTGTCGCTGGAGAGGTTGGCAGGGCTTCTGTGTCGAACTGCTGGCTGTAGGGGGAGAGCTGCTGTTGACGTCATCCCGTGGCGGGATGCAGGGGAGAAGCCTCAGGAGTATAATGCAGGGGAAATGCAGTGAGTGCCACTGTGTCGGAGGCGGTGGGGATGGGCTCGAGTGATGGGAGGAGGATAGAATGTGGGGTAAGTGAAAATTAGCTTCTCTGTTAGGAAACAGGCATCTTCAGTTTATTTTTCTATATGCTGATGTGTTTTTGTCATATTACTGATGGACAGTAAACACAATCTTAAGAAGCAGAAAAGTAGCAATGTTTGTCATGGCATATTTAGAAGGTGCAAATGGAAACAGTGTATTTCTGTTCTTCTTCTTCTTTTTTAAAGATTTACTTATTTTTACTTAAAGTGTTACACAGAGAGAGGGAGAGAACTTCCATCTGCTGATTGACTCCCCACGTAGCTGCAGCTGTCAGAGCTGAGCCTGTCTGAAGCTGGGAGCCAGGAGCTTCTTGTGGCTCTCCTATGTGAGTGCAGTGGCCAAGCACTTGGGCCATCCTCTGCTGCTTCTCCAGGCCAGCTGGATTGTAACTGGAGCAGCCTACTAAGCTACCTTAACATTTTTTATAGATATTATTTTAAACTTTAACAAGTAAAAAGTACAATCATGGGCCTGGCATGATGGCTCATTGGCTAAATCCTCACGCCAGAATCCCATGAGGGTACTAGTTTGTGTCTGGCTGCTCCACTTCACACCTAGCCCTTGCTGTAGCCTGGGAAAGCAGCAGAGGACGGCCCAAAGCCTTGGGACCCTGCACCCACATGGGAGATGCAGAAGTAGCACCTGGCTCCTGGTCTAGATAGGCTCAGCTCAGGCTGTTTCAGCTATTTGATAAGAAAGACAGTGGATGGAAGATCTTTCTATCTCACCTTCTCGCTGTAAATCTGCTTCTCAATTAAAGTAAATAATTCTTTAAAAAAAAATGAAGTACAATGATTATAATCCAGCAGGAAAATAGGCAGGGGGTATAAACAATTATCAAATGAAAAAATACTCAACCTGAGTCAGATGAGATAAATTTTGAAGTCGAGCATTGTTCAGATTCATCATAAAACCTGAACCACCCAGCTCTCCTAAGGAAAACAGAAAGCAAGGCTCAGTGGTTTCCTTTGGCAAGCCAGTCCACACATGTTCTGATTAATTTCTTTCAGGTGGAGCTGATCAGAATAATGTTCAACATCCACCCCCTGGAGAACCTGAAGCTGTACATCAGCAGCCGGCCGCCGCTGGTGGTCTTTATGATCAGCGTCAGCGCCATGGCAATAGCTTTCCTGACCTTGGGCTATTTCTTCAAAATCAAGGAGATTAAATCACCAGAAATGGCAGAGGTACAGTCCGTTCCGACGTCTCAGGCTGACTCTTGCTTGTCGAGTGGGGAAACACCTCGGGGCTCACCAGACACCTGGCTTTGGTTGTTTCTTTTGTCTCTTAGTGAGAAGGATCAACATTCAGAATCTTACTGTCTTCCATCTCCACGTGACTAGAATTTTGTTGGGAAAAGCCAAGTTAGACAGTTAGTTGATTTCAGTGTGGGTGAAATTAAATACCTGTTTGAGCATGGAACTATAAGCCTTTGTGTATAACCTGTGTCATTGTTTCTGTTTGTGTGCCTGAATTTTTAGCTCAATTAAACACCACTTCTAAAAAGATTTGTTTATTTGAAAGGTGGAGTACTGCAGAGAATCAGAGAGGAGAATGTGGGTGAATGAATCTTTATATCTGTTCACTCCCCAGATGGCTACAGCCCAGGCGGGGCCAGGCTGAAGCCAGAAGCCAGGAACTGTATCTGCGTCTCCCGCTTGGGTGGCAGGGGCTTGACTGTGTGGGTCGTGTTGCACTGCCTTCACACGTGAGCTAGCAGGAAGCAGGAGGGGAAGCAGAGCAGCCAGGACGTGAGCCAGCTCTCTGCTACGGGATCCCGGCAGTAAAAGTGGCAGCATCCCTGCTGTACCACAACGCCAGTACATTGGAAGAATATTTGAAGAATATCTTTGGAGTTACGTTTGGAAAGTGATTTGTTTCAAGAAGTTAGAGCCCTCACATCTTTGTTATTCATATGAAATGATCTCGTTCCAATTTCAGGCAACTAAAACATTTTTTTTTTTTTAAAGATTCATTTACAAGGCAGAGAAACAGACAGATCCATCTTCCGTCTAGTGATTGGCTCCCGAGATGGCCACCGTGGTTGATGCTGGTCCATTAAGGGCCAGCAGTCCGTAACCCCATCTGGATCTCAGACATGGGTGCTAGTGCCTCACATACTGCGTGGTCACCTGTTGTGTGCCCATTTATAATACCAGAGTGTTGGATCTGAAAGAGTAGTTGAAATTTGAACTGTTGCTCCCATATAAGTTGCTGGTATCTGCAGTGTTAATATTTTTTTAAGATTTATTTATTTTTATTACAAAGTCTGATATATACAGAGGAAGAGACACAGAGAGGAAGGTCTTCTGTCCAATGATTCACTCCCTAATTGACCTCGACGGCTGGTGCTGTGCTGATCTGAAGCCAGGAGCTTCAGGTCTCCCACATGGATGCAGCGTCCCAAGGCTTTGGGCCATCCTTGACTGCTTTCCCAGGCCACAAGAACTGGTGCCCTCATGGGATCCTGTTGCGTTCAAAGCAAGGACTCTAGCCATTAGGCCACCACACTGGGCCTGAACATCGATATTTTAAAGCTTACGTAATGTAGAGTTTTCACCTGCTTTACTGGTGACTTTAGAAACAATAATTTGTGGGGCCTGGCACGATAGCCTAGTGGCTATAGTCCTCGCAGTTGAGGATGGCCCAAAGCTTTGGGACCCTGCACCCGCGTGGGAGACCCAAAAGAGGCTCCTGACTCCTGGTTTTGGATCACTTCAGCTCCGGCTGTTGCGGCCACTTGGGGAGTGAAACAGCAGATGGAAGGTCTTTCGCTCTGTCTTTCCTCCTCTCTGTATATCTGTCTTTTCAATAAAAATAAATAAATCTTTTAAAAAAATAATAATTTATGAATTTGCATATGTGTGTGTGTGTGAGAGAGAGAAAGATAGCTCTGATCTGCTGGCTTATTCCCCAGGTGTCCAGCATATCCAGCAGGCTGAAGCTTAGTTTGTGTCTCAAGTTGGGGCAGAAACCCAGATGTTGAGTCACCGCTGTTACCTGCTGGGGTGTTCATTAGGAGGAGGCTGGACTGTGATCAGGAGTTGGACCCAGGAGCTAGCCTGTGGGATGCGGGCTCCCTAAGTGGTGACTGTACCACGTGGGCATATGCCTGTTGCTTTCTCTCTTTTTCGAAGTCATTTTAAAAAAATGTTTAAGAGGCAGAGACATAATAGTGACTTTTTTTTTTTTTTTTTTTTTAGCTAAATAGGAAGACATCTTAAATTCAAGTACAAGGGGCACAGCACAATGACTCAGTTGGCTGTGCCCTCCCCTTTAAGTGCAGGGACCCCGTATGGGCACTGGTTTATGTCCCGGCTGCTCTACTTCCCATTCAGCTCCCTGCTTGTGGCCTGGGAAAGCAGTGGAGGACGACCCAAAGCCTTGGGACCCTGCACCCACATGTAAGGCCTGGGGCTGGCTCCTGGCTCCTGGCTTTGGATCAGCTCAGCTTTGGCCATTGTGGCCACTTGGAGAACCAAGAGATGGAAGATCTTTCTGTTTCTCCTCTCTGTGAATCTGCCTTTTTAATAAAAATTAATAAATCTTAAAAAAAATTCAAATGCAGGTGTCTTTTTAAACCTGGAAAACTTTATTATCTATAATCTTTCCATCTAGTATTTATATTCTGGGCAGTTATTATTACTGGATTTACTTAGAATAATCCTTAACCTGGGCAAATTGTGCATGTACAGTGCAGATTTTAAAATACATGTTTTTTTTTTTTTCATAACAATGCGATTACAAATTTAAGAAGTTCTTATTTAAATGTTGTGAATAAAACTGTATATTTGTAAATTTATGAGAGCTTACGTGATACAAGTGTAATCACGAGTTGTTGAATGTATCGGTAACAGTGTGTTCTTTTAGAAAAGTTTAATACCTGTCCCAATAGATTTCTCAAGTACCTTTGCTTCCGTGCTGTTCTTTGCTGCAGTGCCTAGAACTGGGCTGGTCTGAAGCCAGGAACCAGGAGCTTCCTCCAGGTCTCACCTGGGTGCAGGGGCCCAAGAAATTGGGCCACCACCTTCTCCTTTTAAAAAATTATTCAAATATATTCATTTGCCAGAAAATACTTTTGTGGATAAAGGATTTCTTCCTTCCTCTTCCTCCCTCCCCATTGTCTGGGACATCTGTTGCTGCTTTCCCAGGCACATTACCAGGGAGCTGGATTAGAAGCAGAGCAGCTGGAACACAAATTGATGTACATATGGTGTGCTGGGTGCTGCCAGCTGAGGCTTGACTTACTACTATGGCACAGCACTAGCCCCGTGAATTATTACTTTCTAAAAAAATTTATTTATTTATTTATTTATTTTTACAAAGTCAGATATATAGAGAGAGGAGGAGAGACAGACAGAAAAATCTTCTGTCTGCTGATTCACTCCCCAAGTGGCCACAAAGCTAGAGCCTAGCCAATCTGAAGCCAGCAGCCTGGAGCCTCATCTGGTCTCTCGTGTGGGTGCAGGGTCCCAAGGCTTTGGGCCGTCCTCAGCTGCTTTCCCAGGCCACGAGCAGGGAGCTGGATGGGAAGTGGAGCCGCCGGGATTAGAACTGGTACCCATACGGGATCCTGGCCCGTTCAAGGCGAGGACTTTAGCTCCTAGGCCACGGGCCTGGATTATTACTTTCAGATGAGAATCCTAGGTTGTGGGAAAGACAGAGAAGTATGGGAAAAATTGTGGGCTGTGAATCAGAAAATGACAACTCTGCCTAATTACGAAATTAGAGAATGACTGCTTTGCTCTGTATGTCAGTTTCGTCAAACCTGGAATCGGATGGGGTAGTTCGAGTGTGTGTTTACACAGTCCTGTACGCGAATGTGTGGGGCCTGCAGGTGCTGGGGAAAGGGTAGTTCCGGGGCAGACTCACTGCCACAGATGAGGACACTTGAGGAAGTACATGGGAAAGGGAATTCAAAGATGATTATTTTGGTACATAGTCTTTGAAAGAATTTAGTTATAACAGGTATTCTCTCTGCGCTTTGCAAATTAGTCTTCAACAGTTGTAAATGTGGTGCTGTGAAGGTAGAACAGCTCGTTTCCTGGGGCTTGCCCAGATGGTGTTTGAAAGTTAATACTAGTGTTAGAGTAATCACAAGTCTATTTTCATTTGTCTTCACATTTGGCAACATTTTATAAACTTATTTTTGCTTGGTAGAATTTACATGTGGCAGCCTACTTTAACTTTGGGTTTCCACTAAAATGAAAATAAATCCTGGCGAATCATTCACAAATTTGGCATCTTAACCCATGATAAAATGAACTGTTTTTTTTTTTTTTTAAATGAATTTATTCACTGAAATGATTTCACTGACAATTCCCTTCTGCTGGGTCATTTCCCAAATGTGTGTAGCAGCAGAGGCTAGGCTAGGCCAAAACTAGGCCCTGGAAATGCCGGAAGAATCACACTGTGGGCGGCAAGGCCCCAGGTGCTTTAGCTGTTCCTGCCGCTCCTAGTCAAGGTGTTGCTTTAGCAGGGAGCTGGATTGGAAGGGAGCCCGTGCGGGATGCAATGGCGCTGGAACCACTGTGCCAAACTCCTGCCCCTGACAGGCTCATTGAAAAACAAACAAATTGAGTTACAACTGACAGATGTGTTTGGATGAATACTCTGAATGTTTTGTTCAAGCTTTTTTTTTTTTTTTAAGTGTATTCATTTGCTTGAAGGCAGTCAGCAGCGGGAGAGGGAATAGATAAAAAAAAAAACACATTTTCTTGTGTGAATTTCTTTACTGGCTTTTAATATCTTGCGCCAACATAGTTCCTAGTTTACGAGTGTGAATGTAAGCAGGAGAGTCACACTCTGCAGACACAAGAGGGTGATGCTGTCCCCTCACTGACACTTGTGATGCTGGATTCTGAATCATGATGTGACGCCACACCTGGGGTCGTGCCTGCGGTCCTGCAGCAGGAGGCGCTGTTGGCTCAAGTTTGTGTCTCTGTTTCATTCTGCTGAAGGATTGGAATACCTTTCTGCTGCGCTTCAATGATTTGGATTTCTGTGTGTCGGAGAATGAAACACTGAAGCATCCCACTAACGACACCACAACTCCAGAAAGCACAATGACCAGTGGGCAGGCCAGGGTGTCCACCCAGTCCCCTCAGGCCCTGGAGGATTCGGGCCCAATAAACATCTCCGTTGCGATCACTCTCACCCTGGATCCACTGAAGCCTTTCGGAGGGTACTCTCGCAACGTCACCCATCTGTACTCGACCGTTTTGGGGCATCAGATTGGACTTTCAGGTATGCGACCCGTGGCTGTGCAGACTTCCTGGGTGACAGCTGTTACAGGATTCTCTGCGTGGTTTTGCTCGTCACACTCAGTGAAGGATTTTATTTATTTATTTATTTAAAAATTTTATTTTTATTGGAAAGTCAGATTTACAGAGAGAAACATCTTCCATCCTCTGGTTCACTCCCCAAATGGCTACAGTGGGCAGAACTGAGCTGATCTAGAGCCAGGAGCCAGGTGCTACTTCTGGGTCTCCCATGTGGGTGCAGGGTCCCAAGGCTTTGGGCCGTCCTCTGCTGCTTTCCCAGGCCACAAGCAGGGAGCTGGATGGGAAGTGGGACTACCCATATGAGATCCTGGTGCGAGTAAGGCAAGGATTTTAGCCACTAGGCTACCACACTGGGCCCATTCAAGCACTTTTTTTTAAAATTTTTTTTAAAGATTTATTTTTATTATTTTTTCATTGGAAAGGCGGATATACAGAGAGGAGAGACAGAGAGGAAGATCTTCCGTCCGATGATTCACTCCCCAAGTGAGCGCAACGGGCTGATACTATGCCGATCCGAAGCCAGGAGCCTCTTCCGGGTCTCCCACGCGGGTGCTTTTGGGCCGTCCTCGACTGCTTTCCCAGGCCACAGGCAGGGAGCTGGAAGGGAAGCGGGGCTGCCGGGATTAGAACCGGCGCCCATATGGGATCCTGGGCGTGCAAGGCGAGGACCTTTAACCACTTGCGCCACCGCGCCGGGCCCCATTCAAGCACTTTTGAGTGTGCTTCTTCACAGGAATATGATTAACTGTTAAATGATATTAAAAATAAATTTCTGGGCCCGATGTGATAGCCTAGCAGCTGAAGTCCTCGACTTGAATGCTTCAGGATCCTGTATAGGCGCCAGTTCTAATCCTGGCAACCCCACTTCCCATCCAGCTTCCTGCTTGTGGCCTGGGAAAGCAGTCGAGGATGGCCCAAAGCCTTGGGCCCTGCACCCGCGTGGGAGACCTGGAAGAGGCTCTTGGCTCCTGGCTTCGGATCAGCTCAGCTGTAGCCATTGTGGCTGCCTGGGGAGTGAATGGATAGATGGATGGAAGATCTTCCTCCCTGTCTCTCCTCCTCTCTGTATGTGTGACTTTCCAATTAAAAAAAAATCTTTAAAAAAAATTTAAAAAACCAAAAAAACTTGTGTAAAACAAGGAGCCTGCCCTTTGACCAGTTGCAGACGTGTGACAGAGTGTACGCAGCGCAGGAGGGGGTTGGGGAAGCAGTGCAGGCTGAGCTGAGCGGCGCAGGCTCCCCTCGGCCGCCCTGTGCCTTGGGAGAGTGGCCTTTTGAACAATTCCTTGAAGTGCCCAGACCCTCAACCTCATTTACGGAGGCAGATCCTTTGATGCCTGTTTTGGCTCCTCTCTAGAGTGTAGTGTTAGCATTCTTTGATCATGTTTGCGTCTGCGTAAGTTATCTGGGCTGAAGGTGGTTGGAGTGCCACAGAGAGGTGAATCCAAGCTGTGCTGCTTGGGGGCTGCTCAGCATCTCCGGGCCCGTCTCCTGCTGAGGCGGGGCCCCTCTCCACTTGGCGCTTGCTGGCTCTGCTAGTGGAGCACAGTCAGAGCCACAGTCAGGACTTGTGTTTCTGGACTGGAGCCCAGGATAAAAGTGGTTGTGTTCTGAATCTCAGGGATTTCTTGCTGTTATTAACCAAAACCTGGCTTTCTCTCTCTCTCAGGTAGGGAAGCACATGAGGAGATCAATATTACGTTCACCCTGCCGGCCGCTTGGAGCGCCGATGACTGCGCCCTGCATGGTCACTGCGAGCAGGTGGTGTTCACGGCCTGCATGACGCTCACCGCCGCCCCCGGAGTGTTCCCTGTTACCGTGTAAGTGCTCCCGGTGCCCGGTGAACGGGCTGCGAGGGCTGCCTGGGCTGGGAACGGAGAGGGCGACTTGTGTTGCATCGTGTTGTAGAATTACCCCTGTCTGGACTCGTCCAAAGAGCAGTATCAGCTTAATTTGAAATTCTAAAGGTAGAACTTGTGCATCCAGCACCAGAGCTGGCGCAGTGGCCAGAGCGACTCGCACTTCAGGTTCTCCAAATTGTCTTTCCAGAAAGCGTTACTATAGGTTGGACCTTTCTCTCCACCCCACAGATAACTGGTTTTCCAACTTTAGCTTTAACTTTCGTGAGCATCGGTCAGCTGCTCAAACCCTTAAGGGTTTATTTATTTATTTGCATTTTCATTGTAAAGGAGATTGATCCATAAATATGCAAAATGTGCAAAGTTCAGCGTATTTACAATAATTCAGGGCGAATCCTTTTGAAGGGGGACCGATTTTGAGATTTGTCAGCATTGGATATTCGCAAGTTTGTGGGGCAAGATTGGGTAAGTTAAACATGCTGTGGTATTATGATACCCAATGCAAAAGTTTGTATGTAAAGCTTCCGGTTTTAACAAAGAATTCACATAATTGCGGAAAATAGACTTGAAAGGCCACACGTTGAGAAGACTTGGAGCTGCATGGGTCAGACGCGTGTTTCTTTAGTGGTCTGTGTTTATTTCAAAAACAAAAAAGACCTTCAAAATGCAAACAGTGGCGAAGCATGGTATTATCAGATACACGTGTGTCTGATCTTGTTCCTCCTTCACACACGTGGTGCTGTGTTCCGTGTTGTGCCAGCTGCGGGGGGGGAGACGTGTCTGAGTGTCTCAGGCCACCAAGCACATGACTTTCCCTCTCCCCCCATAGACAGCCACCGCACTGTGTTCCTGACACGTACAGCAACGCCACACTCTGGTACAAGATCTTCACGACCGCCAGAGATGCCAACACTAAATACGCTCAAGACTACAATCCTTTCTGGTGTTACAAGGGAGCCATCGGAAAAGTCTACCATGCTTTAAATCCCAAGCTTACAGTTATGGTTCCAGACGTAAGTGAGGAAAATGTGGGGGTGTGTCCTGGAACTGCTGGCAAAGGCTCTGTTACTTCCTGGATGGGATTGGTCCCTGTCACTCTAGACTTCCAGAAGCTGAGGCAGAGAGGGGAGACTTTGAAAAGCAGGCTGGCCTTTTTGGTCAAGAAGCACCTGGTTCTTTCCTTTGCTTCCTGTTATGTTTGGCAGTAGGAGCTTAGCACTGTGGTGAGGCTGGCCCAGAGCCGTCCCCTAGCATCGCCAGTGTTGTGCTCCTGATGAGCACAGCCTTGCAGTGTGGCTCTGAGCAGCGGTAGCGCTGCTTGGAGTTCACAAAGGCAGAAGGGAGTCGGGCAGATCAGCCTGCCCAGATCAGAGATTAAGGTCTGACTTGGGTTCCCCTGAACAAAGAGGAAAGGGGGTGAAGACAGTGACCGGTGTAGCAGGGGAGCTAGTTTAGTGTCCTGCTTAGACTTTGACTGCATGGCGAGTTTGTAAATGCCCTTCCCCGTCTTCCTTGTCTGTGCTGTGTTAGCAGGATTTTTTTTTTTCCTTCATCCTCATTGCTGCTCTCATTTCTGTGGAGTCGTAGAAAGTTTCTAGGCTGGAATCTATATGAGATAGCAGTAGAAAGCAGGTTGGTATTGGGCGAGGTCAGGTTCCAGAGGCCCCTGTACCTGGCTGTGCCATCTAGCCGTTCCCCTTGGCACAGAAATCACTGGACCGGTAGGGGATTTTTGAGGCTGGCCAGCCAGTGGATGTGTGTGAATGGCAGGTGCCACGGCTATTGTGGTAAGGGCTGAAGTGTAAAGAGGAAGAAGAGCGGAAGCCTTCTGGGGTCTCTGCACTGGCTGAGCTGGTGATCGGCTGTGTGGGGGCTAAAGGCTCATCCAGAATGACCTGAGCATTTTCAGTTTTAAGACTTAAAGTGAGTGGGGGGGAAAGCAGAAGGAAGGGCCAGGTGATGTGCTGAGATCTTCCTCTTGGGTCAATAGTGAGGAGCGACGAACACAGACCCAGGCCGTGAGCCGTGCAGCCTGAGAGCCACGGCAGCAGTGGCTGTACCCGAAGAGGAGAGGGCGAGATGAGCCTCTGGAGCTTCGGAAGAGGAGGACACCTGGGTGGGTGGGGTCGGAGTGTTGTGGGGTGAGGAAGTCGGGACAGAAGACGAGGGGGACAACAGCGGGAGCTCCGCAACAGCCTCGTTCGGGAACTCCATGTTTTTGCTTGGTGAGTGCCAGCTTTGGTAGTCTAGGAGGCCAAAGGGAAACTTCTCATTTGTTGGTTTAATTGAAGTTGAGGAGAGTTTGGAGGCAGTGAATTCTGTCTTCAGAAACCCGGGATGAAAGTCTGTTGGTAGCTCAGTGTTCCTGTTCTAGTTTAGCCTCATTTTTCCCCCTTCCTTTGCGTGTAGGATGATCGTTCGTTAATAAATTTGCATCTCATGCACACCAGTTACTTCCTGTTCGTGATGGTGATCACAATGTTTTGCTATGCCGTTATCAAAGGCAGACCAAGCAAATTGCGTCAGAGCAATCCTGAATTTTGTCCTGAGAAGGTGAGTAGCATTTTATGAAACACTTCTGTATTTAGGAAGCCCTGTTTAGTCTTTATCCATTGATTGTGGGTGGCCCCTTTGTTCCCAACAGATTAGTTCATGTCTTTTCATTAGTAGTCTTTTCAGCCAAAATGATGGTGTTGGATTCTTAACCATAACCAGACCATGTGTAGGTACTGATGGGGGTATTACAGGTTCTGCCCCGTGAGAGAACCCTGCACCGTACAGCCTGCCATCCCTGTCCTCCTTCATGGACCTGAGAAATCAGCTGGTAAATGCCAGTCAAGGCTGAAACCTGCTGACTTGGTATCTAGCCTGATTCCTTAGATCTGCTTCTTGAGGGTAAGCTTACTGTTGCTAGTCGTGAGTTGCTAGGCGAGAGGTTTTCCTTGGGAATCCAATGATGTCCCTGTCTGATGGTTGTCTACAGTCAGGGAAAGCCTGGTTGCCTGAGCTCCCTTCCCTTGCCAGCAAGTGCCGTTGGGACTGAGTCCCATGGTTTGCCCTGTTTGACTGACTTCCTTATCTGTCTTACAGGTGGCTTTGGCTGAAGCCTAATCCCACAGCTGCCTGTTTCCTGAGAGAGACTGAAAAAGAACCATCATCATTGCCTGCTGAACCCAGCCTGGGCCTGGCCACTCTGTGAATACATGATCTTGCAATGTTGGGTTACTCCAGCCAAAGACATTTCAAGTGCCTGTAACTGATTTGTACATATTTATAAAAACCTACTTGGAAATTGGTCCATTGATGCACGTGCTTTGCACTGGGTACAGCCAGAGCCCTTCCACCTTACTGTGGACCTTGGGGGCTGGGCAGGATACCTCCACATAGTGCTAGAGAGGATGCGGGGGTCTTGCTGCCGGCGGGCAGGTGGTGACCACCAAGGTCTCAGGCGTGTTTCTGGAGGGGCAGGTTCGAGGTTGGCTTTGGTTCAGTATCAACCCAGTATATACAGAAATGCTTGAGACAGTCTGTACCTTTGATATGATCTTGCATCTCCAAAGCCACCAATCCATTTTGTGGATTCTCTGTGTATGTGGCTTTCTCATAATAACAGCAGTAATACCTTTTCTCCATTTTGCTTGCAAGGAAACATACCAGTCTCAGTTTGGGGTTACTTTTGGAAGACATACAAATAAAATAGTCACATTTTAATAACATTTTAGTTAGGAAAGAGTTGTGCTTTTATCCTGAGTAAAAAGTTGAATAATTCAATGCCACCTACATGCTAAGAATCTAAGCTTCATTTTCCACGTGGACAGTGAGAAACCTGGTGTCCAGTTGGCATGAGATGTTCTGCTGCCTTTCTGTCCTCCTGTTCCTTCCCGCTGTGATAAAACTCAAAGCAGCCTTCCCCACTCAAAAGGGGTTAGCAGTTAAGCAAATATGAGCTGTTGTTTTCTGACCTATAAATGACAGTTTAGTTAGAGTGAAAGATGAATTGATGGAATAATCAAGGAGAGGTTTGTTGTTTGTTGTGGCATTTTCCAAGAGGCAGTGAGGGCTCCCCCGTTTACCATTGATTTTTATGCAAATAGCAGATCTTCAGAAGGAAAATGGCAGCTGGTAGATCTGTAACATGAAAAGAATGCGTATGAAATGGGAGAAACTGCAAGTCTGAATTGCCATCTAACAGAGAAAACCAAAAATATTCTTACATGATTATAATCATTTCGTTTCTTTGTCCTGTTTTCCTTCTTCTAATTCTTTGTTTTTAAAATTTTCTTCCTTGTCTTACTGTTTTTCTTAATAACTCTTAGAGCAGGAGGACAGTTAAAATACTGGATAGGACTGTCGGCACTTCTTTAATTCTAGGTCTGTTGCCTGTTCTAAGTTAGAATTAGTGCCTAAGATGTGAACCATATTGGCCTAGAACATTTATCCTAGGTATTCTTGAATGGAAAACAGTTGTGGGCTTTGACGAAGATGTGTAAAATTGCATAGTGACTTGATATGTTAATAATCCTTTTTTTTTTTTTTAGTACATTTGAAGTGCAGTAATCATACTTGTCTATCCTTTCCTTTTTTTCTTTGTGTGATACATAATGCATGGCTAACTTGTTCATTCAGTTTTTCTCCCTTTGGAGACTCTGCGACCCTGAGACCCTTATGAGACAAGATTGAAAAAGAGTCCTGAGGCTTGGCCTTTTAGAAATGTCCCATTTCATTAGAAGCATCAGATTTTTAGATTATGCTGCTATGAATGAATAAAAATCTCAATGAAGTGGAATTACAGGAGTAGAGTTATAACTGGCAGGATCATAATTAAAGCAAAGAAAGAAGTGGCAAAAATCCATTTCGCTGGTGTCTTCAATTCAGTTTTCTTGTCCATGGGCAAGACCCTTGGTTAAATGATGAGGAGTGGCCGACGTCCAGCGAGGGAAGAAAGGACGCCGTCAGGCATGAGGAGTAGACATGCAGCAATGGCTGGGCAGTATGACTTGGCCAGGGTACACACTGTCAGCCGCAACCTTCGTGCTATAGGGTGCTTCTCAGAGGTCTTCCAGAGATGCAGTGTTAGATGAAGTTCGATGGAGATGGAGGAAGGCTGGGGAATGAAGGGGAACTGGGGCTTACCTGAAGTTTCCACAGAATCTCAGGTATTCTGTGGTCCTGTGACTACCTGGGCACCTGAGACAAAGCTTGCGGGTGGACTTCAGGGTAAGGGCATCCCGGCGGTGGCCTGGACCGGCGGTCGATAGAAGGTGAGCACCTTCCTACTCAGTGGTTGTTTCAGATCATATTGATCTCTTTCCTTTGTCCGTTTGTCCTTTCACTGTATGACTTGAATCAGTTTTGATTCTATTGGTGAGTTTTCTTCGTCGTTAGGAATTGTCATTTCTGTTGCATTTTCTCTGGTGGTGTATAGGGAATCAGCATCCTGGTTTTTCGAGCCTCCTGCAGGCGCTGTGGGGTGAAAAGGGCCAGCGGATCCATTTCCCTTCTCTTACTGCATGATGGTCAGTAGCTGATCTGTTACAGCATTCACTCCCTGATTAATTTGCTGTGTTGGAATATGTGCATTTGTGCTTTACAGAATAAAACACCTGAATTTATTTACTGCGTATCCTTTTCCTCTAGTTTCACTTGTGTTTTCCAGGGCCAGAACAAGCAAAAATCTTGGAGGGGTTTTGCAGGCCACTCTGTGCAGGTGACATCATTACGATAAGGGAAGGGCGGTATTTTCTACTAAATCAGCCTCCCACCCCATGAGTGTTCTCCCCCCAAAACACAAAACACAAAACCCCTCCCAGTTGACTTGACCAATGGGTGCTCCGGGACCTGGACCAAATCTGGCCCTGATAGGGGTAGTAAACCCAGACCTGTAGTAGGGAGCAAGGACTAGAGGCAGGAGTTTCAAGACACCTTCCTCAAGGCAGGCGTGTGGCAGAGGAGCTTGGATGCTGCCTGGAAGCCCGCAGCACTTCTGCGAGAGCCAGGGCTGAGTCCATTCCTGTGTCCACACCAGCCTCCTGAGAATGCACACCCCGGGAACTGAGATGGCTCAGCTAGTTGGGGCCCTAACAGTCATGCTGGACTGTGACGGAGTGACTAGGGACCAGAAGGTCTTTTCTCTGGGGTATAAATTTGGGATGGGTAGTAAGTGACATAAACTTAGTGTGTACTCAGCCTTAGTTCCCAGTAACAGGCTCCTTGTCTTCTCTGCAGCTTCCCCCTTTCAAATGGGCATGGATGCTGTGCCCTCTCACTGCCCAGCCAGTACCAGCCCACAAGGTCACTATTAGTGTTCCATGTGACTGGCAAATGCTGAGGATGTTGAGACTTTAGGGAGCCCTTAGTTTCCATCTTCCTCCCCCATTTCCTGTCTTCAGCAGGCAGAATGGGATGATGCAATGTGCCATCGTGTTCACTGCTTCCTCTTGCTTTTCCTGTGTGTGGTTCATCTCTATCAGGCTCCCACAGAACACCCACAGGTACATTAAGAGTAGAGCCTAGGGGGCATTGTGCTTGCAACTTGCCAGCCCCCAGTGGAGGACTGGGCTGGCACAGTGCCATAGGTCCCAGCATAAGATCCCAATGTAAGGACACCGGAGACCAGGGCACCACGTCTCAGGTCATCAGATGGATGGAAATATGCCCAGAGCCTTGTGTACATGCAGTGCATCCTGTGCCTAATCAAATGTGTGTGAAAATGGAAAGAGCAAATACAGTAGCATAAAATGGGTTGGCAATTTCTGTAGTATAATGTCCTTAGCCAGGATCTCAAGTTCAGAAAGGAATCGGGGCAAGGTTCATGAACTCAGAAGAATCATGCCTTGCACATTGTGTCCTGGGGAATTTGCCTGTACTTTCTGCCTGACCTGTGTGGTTAGGGTAAAGCACATGACACAGACCTCTAGGGTCAGATCTGTTGTCAGCAATTAATTCCAGGAGTGTTTTTCATGCACTTGTGCCTGCTGTGGGGTTAGTTCCAAGCTAGAGCATATTCATCCTGAGCCTCTTACACTGACCCCATTAAGACCTGTTACACCCTGATGGGCTGGGAAGTGGGCACCATGGGAGGAGTGCCCAGCAGGGTGAGTGTGCACACACACCTATCCTGCCCCCAGTCCCAGGGAGAGCAGTGACAGCCGTCTGCATGCAATGTAGGTGAAGGTCAGAGCCTCTGTGACATCACCTGTGACATCATGCTGTGTGTTGGTAACAGGGAGGGGCATGTTGAGGATAGAGACAGAGCAGGGAGAGCCCCTGGGTAGAGGTCATGTCCCGGTGGGAGAGGGCCTGGGGGAGGGTTTGCAAGGGCATGGTGGACACGGATGAGGGAATTTGAGGGGGCGCGACAAGAGAAAGGGTGCGGGTGCGAGGAGGTAAGGTGAGGGAGGGTTGTAGGTGTTCTCCTACCAGGACATGATCACAACTGCAGAGAGAAGGTGGGCTCAGGGCAGGGTGAGGGTGGGTGATGGTGGGTGATGGTGGGCAGAAAGTGTGTGTGAGTGGGCTGAGGGAGGGTAAGGATGGAGAAGGCAGGCTGAGGTGGGCTAGGGAGAGTGAGGGTGGGCTGAGGGCTGAGGCTAAGGTGGGCACGGGTGAAAGATGAAGTGGGGGTGACAGGGTTGGTGGCAGTAGGGCAGGAACGGCACGCAGATGCAGGAGAGGGGTTTCTAGGGGAGTGGGGGACGTGCTGAATCCAGGGGCTGGTGGGTTAGATTGTAATCCTCTCGTGGCAGGGCACTGGGGGCTTCCCTTCCTCATTGCATGGCAAGGGTCTGGGTCCCAGGAAGTTGCCTGAATTGGCAAATTTTTGGCATTGGTCCATAAACAACCAAGTGAGATCTGATTTCCTCAAAAGGTTTGGCCGAGGGTCAGCGTGGACTGGCATGGGGAGATGCAGGCAGGCTTAGGGCAGGCTGTGGGTCCTCCTCCTCCTCCTCCTCCAAGACATGATTATGATCCAGGGCGACGGAGAGTGAGGATGACCTTAGGCTGAGGTGGGCATGGGGGTGCTGAGGGTTGGTGAAGGAGGGCAAAGGTGGACAGAGGCCAGGCTGATGTGTGTGAGGATGGGCTGGAGAGGGCCATGCTTGCCAAGGGTGTGCTGAGTTTGAGTGAGTGAGGACATGATTGAGTTTGAGTGAGTGAGGACAGGGCTGGCTCCTGTGAAAGATGAGGCGGGGATTGATAATGATGGAGGAGTGAGGCACTCCAGGGCAGTGGAAGAAATGTGGAAGCCACTTGTGGCAGTCTTGGTACCATGCAGGTAAGCAGGGAGAGCTCTGGATGCTTTTCGACCCAGATGAGTCTTTTCTATTTTGTTAACTGACATGATTTTGGGTCCCTGGAACTCATTGCCTGCATTTACAAATCAATTTCTGGCACTGGTCCAAAAATATCTGCATGCAGCTTTAATTTTTTTTTTTCCCAAAGATTTATTTGAAAGGCAAGTTAGAGATTGAACTCTTTCATCCATTGATTCACTCTCTTACAAGGCAAAAACTGTCAGGCCTGGGCCGGGATGAAGCCAGAAGGCAGAATTCCTTCCTGGTCTCCTGAATGCCGTAGTAGGGGCCAACGCCCTTGGTCTGCCAGCTGATAGCTTCCTGGGCATGTGAGCCTGTGGGTTGGAAGTTGGATGTTCAGTACTTGAACTGCTGCTCCTGTATGGTGTGCTGGGAAACAGGAAGTGCCGTAAGGCCAGCTGCCCTGTCAAGTCCTTCTATGTAACGGTTCCCAACCCTTTAATTCGGGTGGTGGGGACCCACTTCTGGACTCTGTGGGTCTCACTTTGGGGGTCACTGCCTAAGGCGGGCTGCGGACGGACATTCCCTCCCCAGAGGAGGCGGCCCAGGCTTGCCAGGAGAGCTTCCCAGAAACGAATGTGTGTTTTGGGATTAGACCTGGGAGGGACAGGTCCTGAGCCTGGCTGCATTGCAGCTACAAAGGAGTCAGTCGTGTCAAGTGTTAGGTGGTCCTAGAGAAACAGAACAACAAAAAACCCCAGGGAAAACCTTCAAAACCAATCTTCTCACTAGGACTCAACCGAAAATGAAGATAATTGAAAGCCCTGATGCATGAGGTGGTCGGCTGCTGGCCTGGAGCCGCGTGTCTCCTGCCCTGCTGATTGGCTCGTTGTACCGAGTGTGGAGAGGTGGTGGGGTACCTGTGTCATGTGTGTCCCCAGCATGATGATTGGCCAAACTTGGTAGGAAAGAGAGAGAGGACAAAGTGGCAGCGGTGGTGGCTCAAGGCGGGGAAGGATCAGTGGACAAAAGCAAAAATAAGATTGTTTTATTGATTGATTTGAAAGAGACACACAGAGAAACAGATGGGGAGAACTAACATCCTGAGTCAGATTCCCCAAATCTGCACAACATCCATGGCAAATAACAAGGAGAGAGGCGTCTCGTGGCAAGGACCCAACATTTTTTTTTTTTAAAGATTTAGTTGTTGGGCCTGGCAGCGTGGCCTAGTGGCTAAAGTCTTCACCTTGAACACTCCGGGATCCTGTATGGGCACTGGTTCTAATCCCGGCAGCTCCACTTTCCATCCAGCTCCCTGCTTGTGGCCTGGGAAAGCATTGGAGGACGGCCCAAAGCCTTGGGACCCTGCACCCGTGTGGGAGACCTGGAAGAAGTTTCTGGCTCCCGGCTTCACATCAGCATAACACCGACTGTTGCGTTCACTTGGAGAGTGAATCATCAGATGTAGGATCTTTCTGTCTTTCCTCCCCTCTGTATCTGACTCCCCAATAAAAATAAAATTTAAAAAAAAGATTTTATGGGAAGTCAGATATACAGAGAGGAAGATCTTCTGTCTGATGATTCCCCAAGCGG